GTGGTCCCAGCTACTTGGGAGGCTGAGGCAGGAGACTTGCTTGAGCCTAGGAGTTGGAGGTTGCTGTGAGCTGTGATGCCATAGCACTCTACCCAGGGGGATAAAAATAAATAAATAACAAAAACCACTGAACTATGGACTTTTTTTTTTAAAGACAGAGTTTCATGGTTACCCTCGGTAGAGTGCTGTAGTGTCACAGCTCACAGCAACCTCAAACTCTGGGGCTTAAGAGATCCTCTTGCCTTAGCCTCCCGAGTAGCTGGGACTATAGGTGCCCGCCAATTTTTGTTGTTGTTGTTATAGTTGTCATTGTTTAGCAGGCCCAGGTTGGGTTCAAACCAGCCATCCCCAGTGCATGTGGTCAGCACCCTAACCACTGAGCTATGGGCACCAAGTCTGAACTGGATGCTGTAACTGAGGGAATTGTATACTTTTTTTTAGGGACAGAGTCTCACTTTGTTGCCCTTGGTAGAGTGCTGTGGCATCATGCTCATAGCAACCTCCAGCTCTTGGGCTTAGGTGATTCTCTTGCCTCAGGCTTCCAAGTAGCTGGGACTATAGGCACCCGCCACAATTCTCAGTTATTTTTTGTTGCAGTTTGGCGGAGGCCGAGTTTGAACCTGCCACCCTCGGTATATGGGGATGGCACCCTACTCACTGAGCCACATGTACCGCCCGGTATGTAAATCTTAATACAGCTGTTAAAAAATAAGACATGGAAGAGGGCTGGGAGGTAGGTTGGGTATAGATGAAACAAGATTAGTCAAGAGTGGCTGGGCGCCTGTAGCTCAGTGGCTAGAGTGCCAGCCACATACATCGGAGCTGGCGTGTTCGAATCCAACCCAGGCCCGCCAAACAATAACAACTGCAACCAAAAAATAGCCGGGCATTGTGGCGGGCACCTATAGTCCCAGCTACTTGGGAGACTGAGGCAAGAAAGTCACTTAAGCCCAAGAGTTTCAGGTTGCTGTGAGCTGTGACACCATGGCACTATACCCAGGGAAACAGCTTGAGGCTCAAAAGATTTTCTTTTCCATTTTTTTTTTTTTTAGAGACAGAGTCTCACTTTTGTCGCCCTTGGTAGAGTGCTGTGGCACTCTACACAGCTCACAGCAACCTCCAACTCATGGGCTTAGGAGATTCTCTTGCCTCAGCCTCCCGAGTAGCTGGGACTACAGGAACCCGCCACAATGCCCAGCTATTTTTTGTTGCAGTTTGGCCAGGGCCGGGTTTGAACCCACTACCCTCATCATATGGGGTCAGCACCCTACTCAATGAGCAACAGGCGCTGCCCAAAAGATTTTCCATAAAAACAAGAATATTTAAAAAATAAATAAATAAAAAATATGACAGGCACCATGGCTCATACCATAATCCTAGCACTATGGTAGGCCAAAGTGGGTGGATTGCTTGAGCTCAGGAGTTATTTGGATTTTTTATTCTAAAGGAACAAGAATGAGACACCATCTCTAAAACCAACCAGGCGTTGTGGTGGGCGCCTGTACTACCAGCTACTTGGGAGGCCAAGGCAAGAGAAGCAGCCAATCTGTAATCACTAAACTGTAAAAAGTGGCTGTTCTGCAGAGTAGAGCCCTCTATATTACTTGGATTTGTTATCCTAAAGGAGTATAAATTGGCACAATCTTTTTGGAGGGTAATTTGGTTAAACATATAAAAAAATTTTTTTGAGACAGTTTCACTCTGTGGCCCTCAGTAGAGTGCAGTGGTGTCACAGCTTACAGCAACCTCCAACTCCTGGGCCTAGGCAATTTTCTTGCCTCAGCCTCCGGAGTAGCTGGGACTACAGGCGCCCACTACCATACCTGGCTATTTTTTGTTGCAGTTTGGCCAGGGCTCGGTTCGAACCCACCACCCTCAGTACATGGGGCGGGTGCCCTACCCACCGAACCACAGGCTCTGCCCTAAACATATCAAAATTTTAAAGGTACTTGCCCTGTGACATAGCAATTTACTTCCAGGAACTTGTCCTGCACATACTAATTAAAGTGTACAAAACTACTTTATATATAAGAATATTTACTGGAACATTATTTATCATGGTTAAACAAAAATGTTAATCTCAACATCTACCAAAAAGGGAACTAGTTCAATTACTTATGACATTTGCAATGATTAATAGTCTATAAAAGTAGAGACAGATCTTTATAGACTGACCATGACTAGATTAGATAAATAAATACCAAAGTGTGTGCAATTCAGTTCTTCTGTTGCTATATTACTGGTATTTGTGCATAGACAATTCTAGTTGAGGAGGGAGGGGAGAGAATGAGAGATTTTAACTTTTTTTAGACACTTCTGATTTGCACAATTTGGGGGTGGGGAATGAATATAAAACTTTCAATTTAAAAAACACTAATCCCCCGGCATTGTGGTGAGCGCCTGTAGTCCCAGCTACTCAGGAGGCTGAGGCAAGAGAATCACCTAAGCCCAGGAGTTGGAGGTTGCTGTGAGCTGTGTGACGCTGCCATGGCACTCTACTGAGGGCAATAAAGTGAGACC